AACCCATGTAGTCTGGGTCAAGTACACTCTGGAAGAAGACAGATAAGGCTGACTGGGAGGGAAGAGCTAGGTCACAGAATGCCAGTGATTTCAGTCTTGGGAAGCCATGGAAATCTTACTTTAAGCTGAACTGGGCCACACTCATTTTCTTTCAAAGAGCTTACTCTGTGGCAGGCTCGGTTGGAGCATCGTCCCAGACACAGAAAGAGCCTACTCTGTGGTACTGAGGGATTGGGATGATAGAGACTGGGGAAACACAGAGCCTGGATCAAATCGGGCACATCATCAAGGAAGAGAAAGGAGCAGGTTCAAGAAGAACAAAGTTAAGTTAGCAGTACCAGAGGACCAATTGGCTATGGGGGATGGAACAGAGGAGGAAGTAAAGCTGAGTCCACTAAAAAAAAACACACACACACATAAGTAGGAACTAAATTAGGGAGAGAGGTAGGCATACAGAAAAATGGTTCAGTATTTGACAATTCTACTCAGATTTCTAATGTCAGCAGACCAAAGACCACATTTATCTAGATCTTCCATGAAAGAGCCTAATCAGAGGTTTGCAAATCCTGCTTTCCATGCTTCATGACAGGGAAAAGTTTAATTATTAAAACTGAAACAAGTATTGCAAAACTCCCCTCCGTTATATGTAAAAATTGGAAAGATTTTTCTGTGGATCTCAAGTGAAAAACTGACCGAAGCAAATGGCCATTTTGTGCACAAAGACAACTGGTACACGTCAGCTGTACTGACGTCTAATCTCAAATGTAACACACATCATTCTCAACATGTTCTCTCACAGCTGGAAGGAACTGGAGGATACTTTAAATTAGACACTCAGAGTTAACCAAAGGAGTGGTAAAGCTACTATGTGAAACAGATCAAATATATTGTTGCCTCTAATTTGTCAGTACCTGGACCACGTACCCACACACTTACAGGCATGTCCCAGAGACACACGGTGTCTCATCAGAAAACCCACAGGGAAATGTACCTCAGAAAGGACATCAAAAGGCAGTCTCGTCTGTTTTTATCCTGGCTCCGACACTCTGTATCTTTGTGCACATAACCTCTAATTTATAGTTTTCTCATATAAAAAGAGGGCATCATAATAACACTAATATCTGTCCAGGAATTGCGTTATTAGAATTAGATAATACTTATAAAGCACCTGGTTAATGTCGAGCACTTAGTACAAGCTCCTTAAATGTAATTCATTTTGTACTGTGCTCTCACTTGCTTGAAAAATGAGCACATCTTCTGTTACCATAAATTAGCCACTGTGGTCTACTCTTCATGATCAGTGGGACTGCTATGACAAATAGGTGCTATGGTTATACATCACGATGGGCACAATCTTTACCAGTGTTATCACTTTTTCTCAGCAATGAAATATATTTCCCAGTTAGGTTTATTATATACTATCACTCACATAACCAGGGTTTTTTATTCCTGTTGAACAAAATCAAGTGGGTCACAGTAACAGGGAAGACAGCTAAATGCCATCCTGGCAGAGCCTGAATTCCACGCAGTAAACAGTGGTCCCACAAATGCCTTATTGAACCTGACGCTGGGCCAGTCTAACTAATCACAGCTGTGTGTGAAGAGCCAAAAGTAGGAGGGAAAGTTATAGGACTTCAAGTTTCAGTTACTTAGACCTATAGGTCTAAATAAAGAGTGAACAAAACTTAATATAATAAATTCAGTGATAGTTTTAGTGAACAGCACAAAGCTTCATGCAGAGTAACAAAGAATCTAGCTGTCATGTTCTCTGAATAAATGTACATGGTTTAATATTGAAACCATATTTTAAAACAAAACAGAAAATTATTTCTGAGTATTTCTTAAAATCTACTTAAGTAATAATTTAATGTATCAGTTGTTCATATAATTTGGTTTTTCTTAAAGTGCTTTCAGCCTGGTTGAAAAATAATCAACAATTATTATATTATGATAAAATCCATAAATGAAATTATGCATTTGCCCTAACTCAAACAGCATTCAAACATTGGTGAAGTTTTAATACATGAAAAACAATTGAGGCATCTGAGTGATGCCTTCCTATGAACCTTGAACATAACAATGTCGCCCATTTAACTTGTACTTGGTATAAATAAAGGAAGCCTGTCTTCTAATTTGGGGATCATCTCTTTCATTTAATAATTCAGGGATGGGTAAATTAGAGAAAGAGGGTAAGAGCAAGAAGACGAGAGAGAAAGCAGAAAAGAGTTAACCCACAAAGTAGAATACAGATATCTGTGAGGACTCACAAATCCAGCTTTAGATACCATGGACTTCAAATCTTGAGACAGAAGGACTACATGTAAACAACAGTTTTTACGTTTGCAGTGTGTATGCCCGTTGCCCTTAAATCAAACAGCAGTGACTGAGCATAAGGAGACCTAGAATCTTATGCCTTAATGCCACTAACTTTTATATGAACTCCTGGAAATCATCTCCCCCAGTGCGAAGTGCAGGGGCTTGAGCTGGAATGGATTTCTGGGATGCCTTCCAGTACTGACATGCTGGAAACGTCAGAGCATCTCCTCTGTCACGTCACAAGTAGCTTTACTTTGTCACATCCCTGGAACACACACTGGGCATGCTGGGAAGCAGGCATCTAAAGCCCAGATGCTTCCCCCATTTCACCTTTAAATTAACCTGATCCTCAAGTTCTTCCCCATTCCCACCTCTTCACTTTGCTCTTTTCTAGCAATATTTGTTCAGAAGCCTGAAAAGGTTTGAGTTAGAAACCCTGATATGTAGTGGCTAGAAATAAGATTCACACCACTTGTTGAGGTGTTTTAAAAAATGAGTCATTTGTGCCCTAGAAGTCAAGTTACAAATCAGGCTGTGCACTCCCTCCGAGGACTGTCCCATTAGCTTCAACACCTACCGTGAAAACCCAGAGTTTATAATAGAGGAGACAGAACCATGAGGGTAGAAAAAAAAGTCCTGATTGTGTCTGCTTCTAAAGACAGGGAAAAAGGCATAAAGAGACCCACTTCTGAACTGAAATGTTAATGTTTTTACAGACTGATTACTGGGCAGAGAGTCCTTACAGGAAAACGGAAGCTGTAGGCAGAAGCTTCTGGTTCCAAACAGTATTTGTTTTGAGTTATGGGACATAAACTCCTGACCCTTAGAAATGGAAGAAGCATTCCTCACCTGGTGTCTATTTAAGAAAAAAGTTCAAATTTAACAAAAAGAAGAGTCATACTGAACTGTATTTTCGCCAAATCCCGAGAATATTATGCTAATATTATGATGTATACATACGTCATATGCAAGATTGAAATCTAAAACTCTATTTCATTTCCGGTAACCAGTAGGTAATGATTCTTAACTAATTAAACTCATCAAGCAACCTAAATTGCAAAGAACCCCTAAGTCACTGGTGAAAATATTTTCTAAAAAATGAAGCTATCATTAGATAGACAGCCTTAAAAAACTCAAAAGTTAATTACTTGTTGGGTATAATTAAATTCTGGGGATTACATTTTTTTCTTATTCCTTTGAAGTGCAGTATCATCTAAATTTTTTGTGATGAACTGGTCAAGTTCAAAGAGAGTCATTCACACACCATCTACCCCACCTTTCTTTCCTGACCCTTATTCTGAGCTCAGAATATCTTAAATATCTTCTCTTCTAGGTTATTCAACTACGAAATAAATATGCGATTTACATCTTTACTATTATGTATTGGAAACTGGTAGAACATTCAAAATAGTTTTCAATGGTTCCATCTTTTTCAAAATTTATTCTAGTCCCTCACATTCTAATCAGGCCGTAATTAGGAATTACTTGCCATTTCTAATTTCTGCTACTTGCATGAAGCTATATGAGAACATAGTTAATTCTCTTTTAGATTTGGCTAACTGAAGTTATTGAAGATAACTTCCATTTGTAATGAGATTACTTACAGTATATTAGTAAGTAAGGTTTAGGTTGCTTAATAGGTTGAGAACTTGCTTCATCGGTAATGTGTAAAATTTATGAAATGTTCGCTCTATGGAAGGCACACAAATTACCTCATTTAATTTTCACAACCCTATGAGTCTAGTTCTAATACTTGTCCCTTTTAGATTAAGAAGCCAGCCTTGGGAGAATCAACGTTCCCCTGGTGAAGAAATAGTGCATGTTGGAGGCAGTAATAAAAGCTAGGTATACATAAGTCCAAACATATTTTTTAAAACATTACACAATGACGACTCCCATTGCTAAGTTCTGTTTCTACAACACTATGTTATAACTGGATTTAAAAATTATATTAAATCCCAAGAAAACACATGGTACAGTCTCAGATGAAATATGAAATGCCTGTTGTCCTTGCTGTAGGAAGTTAAACACTGTGAAGGGAATGTAGCTGAGGAATAAACCCATTACCCCATGCCCACATTGGATGTCTCCCAATTTTTAAAAGGATGCTGCATAATCTCTTATAAAAATGGCAATTCTAATATGAGTTATAAATCTAATTTCACCACACAGTAATCATGGAAAAGTACCATTAAATATGTTAGTTCTTCTTGAGGAATTATCACTTTTGCACTGATGAAATTGCAGGCTTTTAAAATTGGTAAATAATTATAAAATCCACCTTAAATCTTTTCTGAAAAGAGCTAGGATAGAAAGCATAATTTCTAACATAAGCACATTATCAAAACAACATAGAAAAAATTATCTCGAATATATCTCCTCTGCAGAATATTCTAAGGCAAAACAGGTGACTGACCTTGAAAAATTCAACATTAAACATAAGCCATGTATCTTCACTGCTGTTTTAAAAAAGAGACCTGACATGTTTTTCTGAGTTACATTTTTAAATATACCACTGGAAAGTGTAACTAGTGACCATGGGTTGCTCAGTGAGCAAAATACCATCAAATAGAATATTTGCATATGTTCTTGAAAAATATACTTAAGAGGGATAGAGGGATAGAAAAGAGTTGTGATGTGGCTGTGACTGCTCTTACAGCACAAGCACTGGAAACAGCACCTACCCAGTAACGTCAGGACACAGGCGAGGATTGCGATCAGGGCTCCGGTGCTGAGGCCGGCAGGTAGGACGTAGGCTTCAGCGTTGCAGGTCTGGGCAATTCCATCTGCATCACAGTCACAGACTCGAATGGTGAGGGTGTTGGTGCTGCTGAGTGAAGGCGACCCGCTGTCCATGATGAAGATGGGCAGATAATACACAGACTGCTCCTGCCTCCGAAAGCCATTCCTCCTGGTGAGAATGGAGGCCGTGTTGTCTGGGAGGAAGACAGCAGAGCTATTAACATGTGATTTCTGATGGAATCAGTCCTGCCAACTTTCATCTTACTCAAGTCACTCTATTTAGTTTCTTTGGACAGAGAATCATCCTATATAATAAAAGCCTAATATGTTAAGTGTCTGGTCATCTGGTCCGCCATTCAACCAATCAAAGTGTAATATGCTAATGATATGCTAAGGCCGCTCAACCGCTCGCTATGACGTGCACTGACCACCAGGGGCAGACGCTCCAACCGGTAGGATAGCATGCTTCTGAGGTCCAGCAGGTTGGGACTGAGCGAGATGGGCTGGACACACCCTGGTGCCGTCCCTCCCAGGCCCCAATCCTGCACCTGTGGGGTCCCTCAGCCTCGCCTACATCCTCTCGCAATCCGTGCTGAGGGACCTTACCTCCCCACCCCGCCCCGGAGTGCACAAATTTCATTCACCGGGCCTCTAGTATTAATATATCTGTCATGCTAGACAATTAAAATCAAAGATGCAGTTGTAAAGTAAAATTGAATATAAAAAAGCTTATCATTTCTAACCTGCAACTTTGTAAGAATTACATATATCTTTTTAATTATCTTAAATTTCAAACCATACACTTACAGGATGATAAAAATTAACAGGTTAAGTATGTTAGGAGCATCATCAGATAGCATAAATGAAATTTCAAATACATTCCTCAACAAATTCCAAACCCGTTATAGAAACAAGTGAAATAAGCTACTCTAATTTCATTTGAATTGAGTGCGTGCATAACTATTCAAAAAAGGAATTATCTTATAGTTTTTAACATTCATATTGGTATACCAAAACCCATATATATAAACATTTTGTTAGTGATAAAATAGGTCATTTGTGCTTAATTTATACTCAATGTTTTATTTCATCTAAACAATTATAGTAATTATGAAACGTTTAACAGTGATCAATAACGCTGTATTACAAAACTGATTTCTATACCTGAAATAGATTTAACTGCTAGCAATTTATGCAGTTAACTTGTCTTAAGTAACTAAGAATTTATGTGATTCTTTAAATTGACAGCAATTAATAAAGGAAAAGAAGGAAAACCAGGACCATAGTTTCGTCCAGTGCTTTAATATATTGTTCCTTTCCAAGCTGTCAAAAAGATGCTTATCCAGTGTTACCATGAAAGAATAAACAATATTCTAAACAGCAAGCTCACATGAGACTGCATAAAGTGTATAACATGCAATTACAGATATGGCAGGAATAAAACTTTAATTTTCAGGTTTTACCTGGTAGCTTTTATTTATTTATTTTTATTTTTTAATATATTTATTGATTTCAGAGAGGAAGGGAGAAGGAGAGAGAGAGATAGAAATATCAATGATGAGAGAGAATCATTGATTGGCTGCCTTCTGCACACCCCCCACTGGGGATGGAGCCCACAACCCAGGCATGTGCCCTTAGCCGGAATCAAACCCGGGACCCCTCAGTCCACAGGCTGACGCTCTATCCACTGAGCCAAGCCGGCCAGGGCAAACTGGTAGCTTTTTATGTACACAAATCTTATTTTAAAACGATAAATTTGAGAGGTGTTCATTAAAAACTATATATGGAGTTGTTGAAGAATATTGCCTTGACAATGTTTGTATACAGTTAACAACACATGTGCGTGCACACACAGGTCTATGGTTTGTCCTCCCAATCATTCAGATGTTGTAGTATTTGATACACAAAGTTGTTCATTAGTAATCTAACGTGCCTGATGTCAAATAACATGCTCAAACACACAATGAATTGAGGAGCTCATACTGAAATGCCCAATATGTAAGATGAGAACCCTGTGTTCCAGAAAGAGGTCATAAAACTCATCATGTGTGTTATGTGCTTCCTAAGATGGAAGCCGATGTAAGAACTAACATGTTTATCCCTTCATGTTCTCTTTCAAGGTCCAGGGGAGGGAGCTCTGGACTTGACCTGGGGAAATCTTTCAATTGTGTCCTGAAAATCCAGACACTTTAGGCTCATGTTGCCTCCATTCACAGTGGTCCTGGGAGGCGGGGGGTGACACACGCGGGAAATCCTCACAGGCTCTTGGGAAGGTCACAGACCGTCTGCCTTGTGCTGGATGAATGGAAGTGCTGAGCACTGTCCCCACCAACTATGATTAGATCAGAGAGTCTGGGATTCCTCACATGGATAATTTTCTGTCTTTTCTGTTACTCAGGGGATATGACAGTGTTCTTGAGCAGAGAAGGGAATCAGAATAAATTATTATTTCACAGTGAATTTTTCAAACCAAAGGGTTTTTTGCACTGAAGAAGACAGTGGCTTTAGGTAAAAGCACTTATAATGTCCACCTTCTGAGAGCAGGTCTTTTTAGATAAACCAGGATTTGACTAGTAAATCTATTTCTACATTTTTTTTCTAAAACCTGGTTCACACATTCAGTCTGAAATAATTACATTTTCTATATTGTTGGGAATACTTTTCTTTATATTGATATTAGGTACAAATGCTCTTCTTCTGCTAAAATAAATACCTTGAATGAAAACACACATGAATATAAAAATTTGAATTTACACGATAGCAGGTTCTCATGCTTAAAGTTATTATAATTTATACTGTCTTTATGTCCACAGTTATATATATTTAAGCAAAACCAGAATTTATTTGTAGGTGTTTGCAAAAATGTTTCTATAATGACATTTAGGAAAGTGGTAAGAGTTATTACTTTTGAGCAAAAGAATGGGATTTGGGATGACAGAGAATTCTTTTGTTCTTTTTAATCTTTGCACAGATCACTTATTTTAGGTTAAAATATTTTCAATATTAACATTAGTTATTCTAAGTCAAAACTGATTTAGGTTGAAATATGTCAAGTACAATTAGTATTTTCCTGATGTCTCAAGTCATACCTGTGCAGGACAGTCCTAATTAAGGCATTTAGCCAGCCCTCAACCGATTAGATCATTTAAGGAGCTTGGTAAACAAATAAGGAAGCAAATGTCTAGAAGAAAATGACAGAGAGAGATGGATCTGGCTTCCCCCTATTTGGATTTAGGCCTAAAATTATTTAAGTAGCAGCTTCTTCATGACAGTAAATCCATAGATAAAAATTACCTTAGGGGCTTATTGCCCTTTAATTAATGTCCTTGCTGGGGAAAAAAAAAAGTCCATAATCAGCATTCCTGAGTGAGCCAAAGCACCCGCTTAGAGTTTGTACCTGCTGCCTCCACCATCAGTGACAAACCCTTACCTTTGTTATCTTTCAGGGAGAAGTTGTGGTTGTTCGTTGCATCAGTGGTTAGGCTGAAATAAAACTGGTGTCCGTTGGACGGCTCATCTCTGTCCACCGCACTGATTTTCTGGATAACCTAGGGCGAGGAGGGCAGCATGAGGACACAGTGTGCAGGACAGAGCAGTTTTGCACCATAGAATAAGCACTGACTTCCTCAATGAGGTGGGAGCTGGGGGCAGATGTACCAACGGGAACCCAGTCTAAAAGGGCTCTGAAAAACTATCATGTCCTTTTCAGATCTTAGATTTGAACAAACCTTCGTGAACCTCAGAAATGAGCCAACTAGTTATTCCATCCCGGGAAAGATCGCACAACCCTGGACAACATGGATGAGTGGAACAAACCACACTGGGATGAAACTACACTTAATTCTCAGAACTTCAAGGCACTGAGCCCTCCTGTGTAAGGTGGGAAACGGCCCAATCAAGCTTAATGGGCTCTATTCCTCCTTTTGTTAAAGGAGGTTAAGCCCTTAACCATTAGCCATGACTTTCACAATGTTTACTTTTCTTCCTGAGGAATTTTCATCATCCCAATGAAACCACGATTTGAAAGTTCCTTTAATATTAGTTTATGCTACACATCAAAGCATTCGTTGTGCTGAAACATGCTGATTATATTTTATCTTACAGCTGGCAGGATTTCAAAGGCAACCACCGCTGGCTCCTTTGAAGGAAATGAGAAACCAGAAGCATGGTGCTCAGAAGCCTCTCACCTGCCCCGGCTGGGCATTCTCGCACACGGTGGTCTCATAGTCCATGGCGAACTCAGGGGCGTTGTCATTGATGTCCAGGATCGCGATGGTCACGTAGCCTCGTCCTACTTGAGACGGATTCTCTAATCAAGAGGAAAAGCTTTTGTCACTTACTCTGGGTAGAACTGTTATTCCACTGCCTTTCACTCAGTAAAAGAGTTTTTACTCAAACTTTTTAATGTTTCCTAAACTCCCATTAAAAATAGTTAAAATCAACTCTAATTATTCACCTACCAACCCTAACCCTTTTTAATCTCTAATCTCTGGCATGGGACTAATAGCAGAGCTGTGGTTGGGACCAAGGCGGTACTACATATAGGAGTATTTTGAAATCTATACTTAAATAAAGATATAACTGTTGTAAAAAATAAGTACAACTCTAATAAGAAAAAGGTCAGGCCTCAAATAAATCTGGAATCATAACATTATAGACTTTAAAGGGAGCTACAGAAACTCTGATCCAATATCATATAACTAAATGTATATAGAAATATAGATAGTATACCTGTGTATTTTTTAGCCCCTGGTAAGTACTGTTGAAAGTATATTCTATGAACCATGTATTTTACTATTCTTTGATGCTAGAGCTCATAATTATTATGAAGATAAATATATATTCTATGTGTACATAAAACAATGCATTATGATTATGCATTGTTCTTTTAATGCTTTTCGTATTAGGGCTAAAAAGAGTTTATTATCACAATATGCAAATCTGGCATCTTAGGTAGAGAAATCAATTTACTCATTTTGTAAGCTATTTGACCAACTCCACATCAGCATAAATGCAGCACACGAAATATGACCACAAGACAAGACGCTCTGTGAGGATGATTCAGGCCCACTATTTGATAGTCATCTCTTTTAATCAACTTTATAAGTATTAGCATTTAAACTAATGAATATAAAATATATTTCACAGCTTAAAATTAAGGATTTTCAAGCTTTTGTTCAATTGAAATAAGCACCTAATATAACTGGAGTTGAAATTATAACTTCATGTCATCCCATTGTCCTCCATCCTAATTCAGTTTTAAACCTTTCAACTTACGGCTCTCCATTGCCAGGACTGTGATATTATGAACAGCATTTGTCTCCCGATCCAAAGATTTGGCCGTTGTAATCACTCCACTGTTGGCATCAATGTTGAAGTATCTCTCCAAGTCTGTGTTTCTGTCAATTGAATACCTAATTGAATAAAAAACAAAGCAAAACAAACAAAAAAAACTTCAACATTTATGTTTATAATTTACTAAATGTATTTCATTAAGTGCATAACCAATCACCGAGTCCTGGTAACTCCACGATCTGTCATATTAATAACAATGAATGCATGCTTAGTTTAAATTTCACTGATGTTACACTTGGTTCTTATCTAATTTCTTTGCTTTTCTTTTAGTACAAAATAAACACCACTGTACAGTTATCTTCACAGATGTTTTGAATATGCCATTATAAACTTCAAATAAGTCTTTATTATCATTATGATGTTGGCTCCTAAAAACCATTTACAATCAATTTAGCAGCCCCGGTCATAGTTATAGGTCTCTTTACAATGAAACATACGTAGACATTTGCCCATTCATATATACTTAGTAACGTCTAGTGTCAAAAATACCAGGCTGACCTTAACACTTTTTTGAATGTGTCTCTCTCATTCAGGGGTCTTGACCAGGGTACCATAGATATATTTCAAAGGAGAACCCCTCAAATTGCATGAATATTTTGGTGTGTAGAAGCTTTTCACAAAATATACTATCCAAACATTAGTGGGAAATCATTCTTATTGGATCTAATTTTTTGTTCCATACATATAATTCACTCTGTGCTCAAGAATGACTAGATTCTACTCAAAGTCTTTCTAGTTGGGTGAATTAAGAGCTCTCATTTAAAAACTTTCTAGTTAAATAAAAAGTAAACAAACACACATGCAACTTAGACTAAGCCAATATTTTACATTTATATAGTACTTCTCAACTATTATTAAATAGAATCATCTACTTCAAGTCTACTGTACTACAAAATGCAAGACACATAAAAAGAATAGAGGAGGCAGAAAATATTAGAAAAGATAATTAACCATACAATAACAAATATTATTGTCCTTGTGTTGGAATAGGTATTTTGGTGTTGATAATCTGAAGTTATTTTTTTAGGGCTTCTATATTCTCAATGGCATATGAGAAAAGAGAAGAAGGTGGTTTGAGGAGGGGAGAGAAGTACTTTTTTAGAATAGAGACACAGACACACACATACACACAGAAGTATATTGGGATTTGTGGGCATAATGTGAAAACAGTCTTTGTTTGCCTGTCTTGCTCTGTTCTCATGCATGTATTGGAAGGTGCATAAAAGCAGAAGGTTGGATTTAACCAGTTGTGGACAATGGAAGGAGAGAGGGGTCAGAAGGAGAGGGGCATATGCACCAGAGTGGTAATAATAAAGGCCCCTGCTACGTAAGTTGGTAAGAGAGAACTGAATAAGTAACAGGCAGATATTGAGAAGCTGTTAGTAGCATCACAAGCGTATAGATCTTTATCAGAATGCAAAATTGCTGTGGAGGGAGGTGGTGGGCAGGGAGAGAGATACTTATTCGTTTAATTTCCCACAGAGCTAAAGTCAATGACCAAATCATTTGCCTCTATTATCGACTGCCTTAAAGTTTCCAGGATTAGAATAAAAACATTTGAGAATTCATTTAATGTTAAATGTCTTCAACTTCTATTCACCTCATAGAAAAACCCCTAATCTTTTGGAGAACCAGTTATCACCTGCACCTCTATATATTTTGAAGAAGAATGGACACCAAAGTCTCTATCATCCTAATAGTAACCATTTCTATATCATAAACTATGTTGCACCCACTTACAGCTGTATGTCATTTAATACCTATAATTCTCACATAGGCCTCCCTAAATCGCACAGCCTCATATATACATATCTGGTAACTTGCTAATTATTCTGACATCCTTATATCTCCCTTCCGTTATTCATGCCATCAACAATTACTCGTAAGCACCTGCATGTGACAGTCTATCTCAGGAAACTAAATTTATAAATATTGTTTTAAAATATAACAAATTACAATAAACAGTAGGAAACCAACACATTGCTATCCTGGAGTCTGATGAAGGAAGTCGGGGCAGATGTGGGGAGAGAATGAGGTACTGGCTTGAGAAGAGAGGGGAGACCTCAGCAAGAACAAGGAGTACAAACTGCCCAGAACAGTTGCGGAACTTGGGGTCACCCAGTATTACAGGGGCTCCTGTTTCCTACCAACCCTCTGCATATGCAAAAGGCTAGCGTTTATGTATGAGGCATTAGCTAATGTATAAAGTTAACCTGAGAAAGACCATTTCTTAACCAAAAAAATGTGGGCACCTTTTAGAGAGGTGAGAAATGTCTCTGAATTAGAATGGGTGTGTGTGTGTGTGTGTGTGTGTGTGTGTATAACTGAGCCAAAGAGAAGACAGGCCCTGAAGAAATTTGGGGGAGCACCCTCTGCTGTTCTGGGCCCACTGGCCTAGTAATGGAGAAATGCAGTTGCCTGAGTCAAGAAGAGGCTGAACAGGAAAAGGGAATGGAGTTTCTCTAATTGTGAACCAAACTTATCATCACTAGTTTCTGAAAATCACAGCCTCAAACACTTGGCCTGCTTCACCCTATGCTACAGTGACCAATTCAAGAGACCGCTTCCATTTTTTTGCAGCAACAGCACTTAAAGCTTTGGCTTATCTGTTTACTGTGCAGACAGATCGAAACCTTGGTATCCAGCCTCAATCCTTTTCCTGAGATTCTGTAAATTACTGCAGACATCTTCAACACAAGCTAAATATCTAAAAGCAGGTTCATCAACCTTTCCCTGAAACTGTCCCTCCTTCTAAACTTTCTCATCTTCAGAAAGTGCTGAGTGTTTGAAACGCAGTTTACTTTTGGTTCCTAATCCTCAAACAACTATGCAAGGTCATGTATGACAGAGACGTGTCATCCATTTGCCCTTAACTCTTATTAACAGAACCCTGCTTTTGTTGGAGGTAGCCATGCGCCTGCCTGAAAATCAACATTTGCTGGTCTCCCTTGTAGGTTGGGTGTCCTTATAGTATCTAAGTTTTAGCAAATAAGATACAAAAGAAAGTTGTTGCGTTGAGCATCATGGAACATCTCCTTAAAAGACAGGAGCGAGTTGCTAATTCAGCTGGCACGTGATTTCTGCCCCCTCTCCTCTATCTCACGTGGGACATGAACACAAAGGGAACATGTCCAAAAGCCATCTGGTAAATATGAGGTGATGAGTGCCTGGTGTAAGAAGCCAAGGCCCTTGATGACATTATGCTGCCAAATTATCAGTCCTTGAGTGCAGAGCTCCAGACATCTCATTAGTAAGTCATTAGTGTTAAGCTCTGTTGCTACTAGCCAAGCACAATTTCTAACTAAGGCAAGCAGGCATCATTATTGCTGTATTTCAGTCCTGGACTCCAAAGTCTCACAGTTGGTGGCTGAAGGAGCCAAGATTCAGAAGCATGTCTGTCGGAGCCATCTTTCCAGTACACACCTCAGAACCTAAAAATGAGCTTGTAGTCCCTGCCACCTACAATTCTATGACCCGTATTCTTTGGGTTTTTCCCAATGCTCTCCTATCTAAAATCCTAGGCTAGTCAAACTGATGTATTACTTGATGAATAAAAACATCCTATGTATCTTCATTTCTGTGCCTTTCCTCACATAGCTACTCCTGGCAATTATTTTAGTCCTACACTTCCTTGAGGACAATCACCCAGTGTTAAAGCAGCAAGCCCTTCCAAGCACGTCACAAATCATGGCTCTCTTGTACTTGGGGCCTCTCCAAGACCCCACAAGTGTGGTGGGCTCCGAAGGGTTGTCGTAGCCTCTTCTCCCACTCAACCCCCAACTTCCAGCGCCCTTGGAGCCTGGGCATCTGAGACTTAAATGCCATCTCACAAGACTGCACTCCTGTCTCAAATCAGAGATCCTCAGTCCACAAGGGTTTGGAGCTCTGCCTGTGGAGATGAGCAAGTGGTGCAGAATGTGGTTGATTAAGTTGTGATGAAAACGAAGGCTGCCATACAACATTTGGTGAAAATGGATCAGAAAGCAGAAAGATTCAATCCTAAAAGCTAACGCCTTTTAATTTTTGCCAACCCAGTAAGGCTTACTTGACAGAGATTTCTTTATCCCCAACTCACCCCCCTTCTCAAACTATCAATTTGCTGTTAAATCACACCATTGTTAATTTTGAAAAATATCATCAAAAATAAGTGTGATGTGATGTGAATAGGAAACCACAGGATTAGAAGTCAAAAGACCCTGGGATGTTGGTGCCAGTGTGATGTGACGCCCTATGGGAACTACTAGTCACTCACTCCGGGCTCAAATTCATTAATCAGGAAAGTAAGGGAGCTGAAATAGAGATCTCCAAAATCTCTGTAAGTGTCTGACCTTCGAAAGTGTTCTACATTGCCACATAGTCACTGCATATTTTTATAACTGTAATTTCCCAGGATCAAACCAGAAATTAGAGCACTTTGTATAGGGAAATCAAGGACATACATATCACATATTGGTAAGAAAAAAAAATAGAACAATTTTTAATCCTATCAAAATCTCTAAAGTTTCCAGTAAGCCATTCCATTTCAAAAACACAGCAAATAAATATAATTCAAAATTGGCCCTCCCTGGTTTGTAATAAAGAATGCAAACTTGCTAAAATTCTTCAATGCTTAAGGTACTGAACAACAGGGAGATCAGTTTGATATCCCTGTTCCTTAGATCCTGCTACTTTCATTTTTCAAATAAATTCTTTTATTCAATTTATTTAAACTAAAAAATGAATCCAAAAACAATTCCCAAATCGTGCATAAGATCAGTCTGTATGATATGTGGATACCCCTACATCAGCAGTTCTCAACTTGTGGGTCGCCAACCTGTGGGTCGCGACCCCTTTGGGGGTCGAATGACCCTTTCACAGGGGTCGCCTAAGACCATCGGAAAACACATATATAAATTACATATTGTTTTTGTGATTAATCACTATGCTTTAATTATGTTCAATTTGTAACAATGAAAATACATCCTGCATATCAGATATTTACACTACGATTCATAACAGTAACAAAATTACAGTTATGAAGTAGCAACGAAAATAATTTTATGGTTGGGGGTTGCCACAA